ATACACAGTTTGATGGGAAGTCTGGTGTTGATTCAGAAATTAAAATAGGAGCAGGATCTACGTAAAGGAATGAGGGTAGTGGAACAAATTAAACCAGTTTTCAATGAGCTTGGTGTCTGGGGTTTCTAATCCCTAATTGCCACCTTTCCTCTGCCATAAACCCACCTTGGGATGAGATGCAGTCTGGGCAGCCCTGGCTGACTGGCAGCCCACAGAGCAGATCAGCCCTGTGGCCGCTTTCTGCCCTTATCTCCTTCTGTGGAGCTGTCACTTTGATTGTTCTCTATTCACCTCCCAATTTTATAGAACTTGTGGGATTAAACTTATTTTCCACATCTTTCCCATCTTTTAGAATTGGTGGAAGTTGGTCAAGAGTTACTGAGGGGAGAGAATGGGGAGAGGGCAGGGTTTGCAGGGTCTTTGTGGGTTAACACTCAAGGATGCTCTCATTGGTTTTCTGTCTGCATACACAACCCAGAGTTTGAACAAAGCCCTTTGTCTAAAAATCCTGTGTTTAGATGTTAGAACTATGTAGGCATTGTCTCACGTGGAAACAAACAAAGCCTCATTTCCAAGTGTCCTTACAGGCAAGTTGTAGTAAGAAAATATGCTTTTTTCTGTGCTTTTACATTTCTGCTGCTGTTGAACAGCTACATTGAACTGTTGATAAAAGAGGAAGTTGTTCATTCTGCTTTTCAGCTGTTGGTTTGGGGAAATTGGGAGCAGAAAGAAATGAAACTATTTTAGAGTTGAGCATTGCTTAATATTAAAGATGTGCAAAATAGGAATTGCAAATTGAATCATGGAGGGCCTGGTGTCTTATAAGGAGTAACTGGAAAGATGTACCTGCCTTGTAAAGCCTCTAAACTGAGGCAAAAGTTAAATGAGGTTAAATGAAGTGACTGAGGGCAGTGGGAGGACATTGGCTTTTATTAGAAAGGGGAAAAAAGAATAAGTCCTGGACTTTTCCATTAGATTCAGATACCTTGTTTGGGTTGGGGTCAGGGAATTGATCTTTCAGAAGTAGGTATTTTTGGAAGGTGGAAGTCACATTTGTGTCATCCATATGTCATCCAGGGACATTTATGTCTCTACTCTTAGCCAGTACAAGTTCCTTTCAGTGTATATTTATTCCCTCCATGTCCTCAGATTTTTTATGAAATCACTCTGTAAATGTTCATGTTCTTCACCACTCTCCCTGGGTTCTCTGCTTTTAATTTGCTGCAGGGATGACCCCTGAATCCTTACTTGCAGTTCAGGATAAGAGATGTGAGTAATGGAATGGAAAAGGACATTTTGGAAAATGAGGGGCCATGTTGGGTTTGATGCAGTTTTATTTAAAATTCAGCATGTTAGGGTATTTTTCTGTAAAAAAATTGAAGCCACCTTTCCCTTGCCTTTTTGCTGAGAGGAGAGAAGCAGGAATGCCTGACTTTAACTAAGGGCTCCTTTGGAGAGCTGCCCAAAGCAGAGCTCACTCCCTGTGGGAGCTGAGCCCATGGTCACACAGGAGCCAGTGGAGTTCAGACAGATCTGTCCACCTGCACACGTGGGAAAGGAAAAGCAGGAACTGAAGGCAAATGGAGCAGGAGTCCAAGGAGGGGCAGCCCCTTTGGTGTCCCTGTGCAGCCGAGCAGGGGAGGAGATGAAAGGCTCTGTGCACACTTCGGGAACCTCTCTCTTCTCGTTCCAGGGATCATTTGCCCCCCGAGGAACAGAGGCTCAGGGATGCTGTGACTGCTCACTCTTGTTTGTTTATGTTCATCTGGAAGAGACATGTGAGCAGAGCTGCCTGGGCTGCTTACGGCAAAGGAAATGGATCTCAGGGGGACAATTAATTTTGCTTGACTATTTCTGAGCCAGGTGAAACCATAAAATGAACCCGTGTCCTCCCTATTGTCTAAAAGGGATGTATTTATTTATTTTACATTTTAATGCACCACTGGCAATTTATGGTGTGAGTCTGAATGAATTATTGATAGAATGAAGGTGTATAACATGGGAGATTAATAAAAAGGATTATCAGACTTCAAAAAGAAAAAAGGAAGGAAAAAGCAGAGAGCTGATATTTTAATTAACTGCTCCCTGCCTGCATTGTGATCCCAGAGACATGAGGATTGAGTGCCAGAAGGTAAATCTGGTTGGAAATGAAGTTATTCCAGTCTTAGAGGTGAGAAATGAGACAGTGCTTCAATATTCTTGCAGTTTGAATAATCTGGGTTGCTGTTTGCAACAGAAAGTGGAGTTGTTGGAATTGAGACAGTCTGCAGAGCTCTGACCCAGTACTGAAGAGTAATAGTAGTAAAAAAATAAAAGATAACATTTAAAATGTAAATATCTAAAAGCAAAAAATGTTAAAAATAGCAGAAGTAAGCATAAGAATCATAGGAAAGGTTTGAGCTCCCCCTTTCTTAATCCTGTTCCTTGAAGAGATTAGACAATTTAGATATATACAAAGACCAAACACTTTTTTGTCCTGCTGATTTTTGTCATGGGACTGTTGGACCTTCAGGAGGGCGTGGGGACACGGTGACACTTCTGGACTCGGCCACTGCTGCTGAGTGGCTGTGCCCAGCTTCATTTTGCCAAAGGGAGGGAGCACCTGAAGCCCACCTGAGGGGCACCCCGGACTGGCAGCGATGCTTTGCTGCCCTTTGTGTGAGCCCAAGCAAGGAGCTGCTCCGGGGGCACGAGGAGGAGCGGTGGCAGGGCAGGGACAAAGCCATCGGTGCCACCATCTGCAGGGTTGGCCGTGTGAAGGGGGTGGCCCTGCCACTCCTCCTGGGGCTGGCCCCTGCTCCTGCATCCCAATGTCCCAGAAATACATCACACGGTGAGACTGACGGCAGAAGGAGAGGTTTGGTTTAGGCACAATTGTAGTTTTATTGCTATTTGGATCTCTGGAGGATAAGTTAAAGGACAGTTTTTTCATGGAAAGCAAGATACTAAGGCATTGAGAGAGTGACTACAAAACAAAATACATTTTAAAAATTAGGTTTGTAATGTTTCCACTGTTAGACTGGTCTCTCCTTTCTGGATGGAGCTGCGATTGTTTCATTTGTCGATGCCACAACCTTCCCGTAAGAGCAGATAGCAGCATTTCACCCAGTGAGCTTCCCAGCAAGCAGGAGAGTGCTCTCACTTCAGCTGTGCATGGGTATCCTATCAGTGTCAGCATTTCTGGCCATTAAATACCTCAGATTCATTACAACTTGCATTAAATACCCCAGCAGTGATGTGCAATAGCCAGTTTCACAAGCTTTGGGTTTCTGAAAGCAGTTATCCAGGAGAAAGTCTTTTCTGTCTGATAACAGACAGATGTGCAATCTTTGGATGATCTTTAGTATGGATGGTGTCTTGTAAAACTCTTGGCTTTTATGGAAATGGTTTTTTGTCCTGTAGTAGTCCATAATATGTTTCTGAATGGGTGAAGAGAAAATTGAAAATTGTCCTTTTTTTTTTCCCCTCAGTCTCCAGACCCTGGTTCATTTAGCAGCAGAAGGGGAGTAAACGTATGTTCTCTTTAAAAAGTGCATCCTGAGAGATTGTACAGCTGCTTAGTGGTGCTTTGCAGTGTTTTCCTGCTGGATGTCTGCTCAGGGAAGCTGCATGTTTTGTGTGCTAGGAAATGAGTGCTTTATTTCAGCCACGGAGGTCTCTCCAGCACCGCACACAGAAATGCTCCATGTTTCCTGTGCGGGCATGTGAGTGATATTTAACATGACTCCCTTCCTGACAGCAGCTCATGTAGGAAAACAAGAAAGGAAAGTAAAAGATCAAGCCCCAGAGGCTTATTTGTTGTGTTTAATGCTTTAAAAATGTTTGCTGGAAGAAGCATTGATGTAGCAATGTGTGTGCACATGACTTGTAAGAGAGAATGGCTTGGCAAGCCCAGGTCTCACTGTGATGTGTAGGCAGCTAAGCCATGGAACAGGTTGCCCAGGGAGGTTGTGCTGGCTCCATCTTGGGGTTTTTTTTCCTACCAGACTGGATAAAACATAGAACAGCCTTGCCTGACCACAGAGCTGAGCCTGTCTTGAGCAGGAGGTTGGACTTGGTGACCTCCTGAGGTCCTTCATTACCTGAATTTTCCTGTGATCCTATTAGGTTGTGAGCAGCTTTGCAGGGGGAAGAGACAAATCTCCCTGCCAGGACTTCCTGTGTCAGTTGTTGGCTAACAAAGGTAGATACCAGCTAGCCAGAGAGCATTTCCCTTCATTGTGGTGACATTGAGCCCCAGCCCTTGCTCAGGACTCATCAGAAAAGCCACTGAAGTCACCACTGCTGAAGCAGTGAGTGAGTGGTGACCTCAGCCTGAAAGGACCCAATATAAGTGGAATTTTCTCTTTCTGCCGCAGTGGGAAGATGCTGACTGGAATTGCAGAGCACATGGTACTGCACCACTGGCACAGAGGAATAGACCAATTAATTGCTTGAGTTCATGTCTTGCATCTTTTTCAAGCCCTAGATTAATGCAAGCAAAGCAAAGAGCGTGGAGTGGTTGACATTTAATGAAATGAATGTTAGTGTTTGAAGGAGTGCTTTATGATCATCTGCTGTGGTGACAGATGTACTAACAAGCCATGAATAGATGCACAGATAGAAACATTATTATTTAGATTATAGTACTCAAAGGTGGTACTTGTTTGTCTTGCCTGTCTGTAAATCATGCAACATACTTTCAGTTCCATGAAGGCAGCAGCTTTTTATAGTAAAAACCTTAGAAAATTATCTTGAAAAAGAATGTCCCTGTTTTTTGAATGGCTGGGAAAAGGCATGGAAAGGTGAATCTTTATCAAATAATGGAGGGGTAAGAGTTCTAGTGAGAAGAAACACCCATCTATGATATATGTGGGACTCTGTCATGAAGAAGCAATGTTGAATGTGAAATAAATCCTCTTAGCACAGGGCAATCCATATCATCCTTGGTGGGGTTGGGTGCAGTGGAGATCTTCTGCACTGTTTATATTCATGCCAAGTACTTTCTTCTTTTCTTGCAGCAAAGAAAACTTGTGCTGAGTCAGATTTCACTTGTGACAATGGACACTGCATCCCAGCCAGGTGGAAATGTGATGGGGAAGAAGAATGTCCCGACGGGTCGGATGAATCAGAAGCAGCCTGCAGTGAGTAGCTCAAAGTGGTGTTTCCAGACATGTTCTGCTATCAAAGCACAGAGAAACTGAAGCTGTTATTCCCAGCACTTGCAGGGTGATCTGTCAATTGATGCTTGTGCTAGAACAAAATTTACAGACACAGAAGATTCAGGTTATTCAAATCACATGGTTTACAAACTTTCAAATGTACCTGTTTTCCAGACTATGATACAGGCAGTGCTGTCTAGTCTGGATTTCTGTCTGCAAGGGAACTGTAAACATCTTGAGCTGATTGTCAGGCTCATGATCAGCAGCAGTGGAGAAGTGTCACACTCACCTGGGATCAGGCTTTTTGGAAACTCAGATTTGATATTTTGCTGGTAACATATTGGGATTTATCATCACTGCAGACAGCACTTCTGTTATTTCAGAGGAGTTTTGCAATGTAACTGTATTGCTCAATCTTCATTTTTTTATTTTTCCTCTGAGAACAACTGAAAAAAGCAGCACATGAAAGATGAGAAATATAAAATAACTAAAGCTGAGAGTAAGATGTTAAGTGACAGATGTTACTGTAGGTAACACCCTTTAAAAACCCAGTAAGTAATAAGAACATTCTTGGTTTTATATAGTGTATTTTATCATGGCCTGTTGAGGAGGCCTATTTGTGCTCCATTGTTCTAGAGCTGTGAAGCGTTGTCTGATGTTGAGTTGAAGAGAATCCCAGGGATATTTTAATGAAAATACTAATATCTAGACTTTTATTTGTGTGCTTACTTTTATCTGCAGATCTGTTCTTGCCAGAGCAAGAAACTAGTACAGGCCATTCTATTGAATTTCCAGTCATGTACCTCACAAATATTCCCGTGAGTCAGAAGCAGTGTTGGAGGAAGTATTTTATCAGATCTTGCCGGAATGGGGTTCATAGAGGACTTCAAAATCAACCATACTTGTATTTTTAATCCTAGAACCAGTCCTCCTTTCTCCCTAATTAAGGGAGATGAATGCACTTCTCTTGCATAAAATGAATTGAATCATTTTTGCAGCCACATACAGGCTACAGAAAAAATTACCTCAATAAATACATTAACATATTTATGTGCTGTATTGGTTGGTCTTTCACCCTGCATCCTCCTTAGTTAAAAGCTGCCTCATTAATGCTACTTCCACTACCTGATTGTCTGGAGGGGGGCTGAATAACTAAGCAGCTTCATTTGCTGCAGTCTCTGCCTGCAAATCTCATGTCAGAGGCCATAGCACAATCTGTGGATAGGCCAGGCAGCACTGAGGTCCCTGATGATTTCTGTTAATCATCTTCCATCCCTTTTCTACCCATTTCACCTTTCATTTTTTCCCCCACTTATTTCATCCTCTGGGGAAATCAGCTTAAATCTTAAGTATCACAAAAGAAACTTGACCTGAGCCTCAGATTGTTACCATACAGGACTGCTGTCCTCAGAGAAAAGTAATTTGTTCGGATTTTTGTGGGGTTTTTTAAAATATTTTTTTTTCCTCCTACTTGAAACTTTCTAAGAGACTAAAGTCTGTGTTTCTCTGGTGGTTCTTCAGTTCAGAAAAATAGATAGTCCCTGAAACATCTTCCTGCAACACAGGAAGAAGTTTGGTCCTGTTCATTCATTAAAGTTGGGCTTTCCTTGTCATTTGGCCCATTACCATAAAAGGCCTGACTCTTCATCTGTGTAAATGTTATTTGATATGAGGCTGTAGTGACAGAAAATGTGGTGACAGGCAGATGTATAGAAGGACATTCCTGTATGATACTTCTCTCCAGTCCCATTTTCTTTCTCCCTGATGAAATCGAGGCTGGACTTTCTTCCTGTGTCAAGGGGTGACTGCAGGGCCTGTGATTATCTCATTTTCCTGCTTAGAATTGCAGCACAGCCCTGTGGAGGGGCCTGCCCTGCAGAGCTTCCCTAGGGAAGGGACAGGTTGGGAAAGAAGAGATTTCTCACCTCTGTTAAGATCAAACTGCTTTATAAAATCAATGCTCTCAGACAGGCCCATAATTGCCAGCACCTCTGCCAGGATCTGGGGTTATTCCTCAGTTAATGCAGCACTGGGACATTGTCCATAGGCCATTCAATCCAGGGAGTTGAAGAGCATTAATAATGCTGACTGTTGCATTTTAGGAGTACGTCCAGCTTAGAATGTGGTGAAAACAAGGCTGTTCCTCTCAGCATCTAGCCACCTGCTAAATGGCTTTTTATTTTCTGAATGCTTTTGTGGTCTGTGTTTAAATGCAGTTTGTGCTCTCTTTTAGGTAGTTAGGGATGTCGTGTCCCCATCTCTTATGCTTGGTTGGAGGTAACAGTTTGTGGGGCTTGGTTTGGTTTTTTGGCAGTTTTTTTGGGGTTGTTTTTTTTACAGAACCAAAATTGTACTTCGTTTTTTCTGTTTCCCTAATCACTGAAGTTCTCAGCTTTGTACCTAACAATATCCTCTTCAGGGACATTAGCCATTCCCAGGTGTTCAGAACAGCATGACCTGTGTCCTGTTGGATAGGTGAGATGGCATCACAGCTGGCCTGATTTCTGCTGTGATGTCTGCACTTTTTCTGCTATTCATGCAATTATTATTTTTTTAACTGTGTTCTTCAAGCCACTGAATGTGTCTGGCAGTGGTGGCTGTAAGGGTATCTCATGAGTCCCACTGAATCCTCAGCTGATGAAATCCCTAGGACTTCTCCCTGTTGTGGGTTCTGGTTCTAGTTGAAGGTTGATTAGTTTCTAGCATGGACTGATTTCAGAGGAGATGGTTATCCAGGCTTTTGTTTTGAAATGGCTCATTGTAAATAAGAAGCTGGTTGTATTTCTTCATTTTTCTGCAAGACAGGTCTCTGGCAGAAGATGTTTGGTAGCTCACATGTACTGTACATTAGAGACCCCCCCATATGCAGAGCCCTGCCCCTGTTTTTCATTACTGTCACTAAAAGCAGCCCAGTGTGGCTTGGTGATGCCCTGGGGCTGTGCTGCAGCCTCTGCTGATATACACAGGCTCTGCTTATGAGTATGGAAAGATTCCTCACCTTTTCCTTACCCAGTTCTGAGAGAGCTGAGAGAGGGGGAAGGGAAGTCACTTTTCTGACTGAGCTAACAGAGACCTCCAGCAAAATTAATGTTATCCACCTAATGCTGTTCCAGCACAGGTACTGAATCATTCTGCTTTTTATACAAGCAGGAAATTTTGAATTTCACTCTGAAGAATTTAGGTTATTTAATCAGTGACTTAGGCAAAAGAAAATTAAAATCTCAAGAGAAAAATAGAAACAAATGCTAACAATCAGTAACAACAGTGATGGGAACACAAATTAAAGGGATAGAGCAAGTGAAAATCTGAGCTGGCAAGCTCTTGCCTTAGGACATTGTATATATAATGAGATAGAGGAATACAGAGAGCATAAGCTCACCACTTATTTCTTTTTCAGATATGTGACATTCTCCTGGTTAAGAGCAGAAATTATTGTACAGAAAGGTACAGGGTGTAGAGTGTAGGATGTTAACAGGCAGAAAAAGGGACTGGGAAACTAATTCATATTGCATTTAATAGGGGAATGATTTAATAGGGCAGGCTTAATAAGCAGCAGTTCTGGAAATAGATTTTAAAATGGAAGTGGAATATAAAATCAGACCCTGAATGTTGGTTTGAAATACAGCACCAGTTCAGGCACTTCTTTCTTATTTTGAAGTACATGTCATGAGTGGTTCAGGAAGATGTATCCAAACCTGACAGTTATATTTTTAATGGGTATTTTCCATGGTCCCAGGCACTCTGCGTGCTGCTGCTATTTGTGCTGATCTCTCTCAGTGCTGGTCAGTTCTGCCCTCATTTCCTATTAAGTTCCCAAATGTAAAATGCTGTTGTTGGTAGCATTGATGGTATCGTTCACCCCCAAATGCACAATCCTCTCCCAGCTCTCTGTTCAGCCCAAAGGATATTATGTCTCTATTATTCTTCTTTGCTGCAGATCTCCTGCATGACTGAGTGGGTTTGGTGACATTACTGTGCTTTTGTGGAAAAGGACTTAATAAACTGTTCCCTGCCCTTGGAGAATTTTTCCCAGAGAAGGGTGGAGTGTTCCTTTCCATCATGTACACTGGGCCATTGAATTCAAGTAGCTAAAGAAAAAACTAGGCCAAATCAGCCAGGCACAGCCAGATACCCAGTTTTGGGACCTGGGGCAGTAAAGAAAGCTTTTTTTTCCTTTTTTTTTTATTTTTAATTATTTTTTCTTTTTTCCCCCAAGGTTAAGAGCAGATCTGTTGGTGTAAATGTGATAAGATGTTGGGGCATTGCAAATGCAATGGAACATGTAAATTAAGGAATGTTCTGTTGGAATGAACTGTTAGAGATCATTTAGGGAATTGAATGTGGTGATGTTAGTGCCAGATGTACAGGTGTGCATTTTAACAACACTCCAACTGCCTACAGCCAGCATGAAATACAGCACTGTCCTCCTGACACTGTCCCTGCTGGGCCTTTGGGAGCACTGCTGAACTGCAGCAGCTGAGGACCCATCTGTAATGCAAATATAGGACAAGGTACTGGATGTGGAAACACTTCCAGAGCCACAGGATCCTCCCAGAGACAAGGCACAAAAGTGGCAGTCTCATTTTCCAGGTGCCCAGACTGGTTTGTAGGGCTAGTGATGAAAGCTTTGATTTGTCAATGTGATCAAATTTATTGAGACAGGATAAAATGAAAAGTGCCATGATCATCTCTCCATGAAGTCATGGAATAATTTAAGACAGAGGTTCATAACTTGGACCTTTGGGAGTCATCTAGTCCAATTCCTTGCTCAAACTGGACTCCTATCCTTATGTTTGACCACCCCTATTAATGGAAAAAATCCCTTTATTTTGACAGACTTTCCTTTGTTGCAGCATGTGTGTCTCACCTCCCATCCTGTCACTGTGCACCTCTGAGAAGAGTCTGGCTCCTTTTTCACTATTCCTTCCCATTTTGGAGTTGGAGGCAGCAATGATATCTTCCTTTAACCTTCTCTTCTGTTG